TTGCCCACAGATTCATTACAGCAAAAATGTCCAAGTGAACCAAATAACTAATCCATTCTGAATGTGTTGTTCAGGTAAAGCTGTATACAAAGTTGCTACATGCATGAAAATCTTTGAATTTGAATCAAGAGTGCGTTCAAGACTTGTACGTATGTGCTAGTAAGAACAAATGAACAACAACAAAAAAAAAACCCTCTGAGACATACAAAAGCCCAAGTCCTTCAATTAACAGCCTCCTAATAATTCATTTTAAGATTGTTTATTAAAATTTCTATGGTTTGTTTAATCAGTCAGGCAATCTTTAAAATATTATCCAATATTTGTCGTTAGTATTCAAAATATATGACTATACACAGAGAATGACAGAACCTTCCGGAATAACCTTTCAAGGACTATGAGCCATGGACACAGATTCCCTTCCATTCTTCTTAAGTGATGTGAAAGTCACACAGCATAACTCTAAGACTGAACTGCTACAACCTCTCTCTCCATACCTAGGTCATTTCTAGTCTAAGCATCTTCTGGTAATACATGAAAACAACACTGATAAACACCTATTACATATGGTCTTCCTTCAGCTCTAATAGTACTATTACACTGCACTCAAAACTATCTGAAACACTGAACTTAAAACGTTAATAGGTCTGTATACATATCTCTCTGAACTTGCTTTGAGAAGTCTTGAGAATAAGTCATTTTGCAGCTAAAGCTAAGCATATAAACCAAACAGATTTACCACAGAGTTAGAAGTTGCATGATATGGCCACAGAAAAAAAACACTCTCTCCACCGCATTTCTATTTAGACTAGGCCTGTATCTACTCTTCCAAATAAATTTTTTAATTATTATAATTATATACACAAAGAATTCACCTGTTTAAAAACTAGCACATACATAAACTGTTCATCTAAAGGAAGGGAACACAAGAGGTAAATCCAATACAAATTAATGAGTTTCCAATAAACAGTAACAGAACCTTTTGTAATTAGAAATGTATCATTCTACATTTAATTCAGAACACCTTTCACTCTCCAGTAAGTATTGCCCTCACATTTAACCATCTCTCTGCCCTTCCAACAACTACTCTATGCAAGTTGCTTATCATCCCTACATCTAATCTAATGCAGTTTGAAATTTGCTTGAAAATGAAATTTGCTTGAAAACAGTACTACACTTAGCATATTTATGTTACACCATATTAAATATTTGCATTAAAAATGTTGGGCCCCAGAAACACTTTCTTCTATCTTCCATGTCAGGGCTTCTGTCAAAGCATAATAGATATCAATATCACCTTAAATTCACATTCAGGTAAGTATAGAATTCTAAATTCCAGATTCGATCAAGTAGCATAAAAAGATTACACTTCCATTGCTGTAAAGCTAAGAAAAATCAGACAAGCTTTTCTTTCTTGATATTTAAAGATACCCATCTCCGGTTGGAGAAGCTTGAAGCTTTGCGCTGCTTTTTTAAAGATACCCATCTCCGGTTGGAGAAGCTTAAAGCTTTGCGCTGCTTTTATCTATTTTGAAATCATTCTGAACAACAGCCATTAATCCAAAGAAGTATATTTTCTAAGTATTCTTCCACTTTTCAACAAAAGACAGATATTGGGAAGGTACTTATATCCATTAAGATGCACGTAGCAACTTCCAACCTATTTAAATAAGCAGAAATTTTCTATTTCCATACAAATATTCCAGTATTTTAGTAAACATTGTGTACCTCAGTAGGCATCAGTGTTTGTTAATCTCATACATAACTAATAAATTCCAATCCTGACGAGCTCTGTGTTTTCAACAGGACAATGCCCAGGCATGCTAGACCACTGAGGTAGAGGTCACTGCAGGATAATGTTCTTCCAAGTACAGTAGTTACTGTGTCGAAATGATTCACTTCTACCATCACCTTGCAAATTCTAATTTGATAATTATAGTGATTATCAATTAGCATCTCATCACTCTTTGATGACACATGATGACTGGAGGCTAACTAGCACCTAATACTCGAATTTAACAAAAATGCCATGAAAGAGGCATCATGGCAGGGGCCAGCAGGCGTAAAGAACTGAGTAAACAAAGAAACGTGCAACAGCTTTCAGTCTCTTACAGGTTAATTTTTCTGACAAGTTTCCTATTCACAGATGGGCCAAAGCAGCAAGCTGGGTGGGACACACATATAGTCTGAATGGGTGTCTCCACAGATCTGCAGCCATCACAGAAGCAGGAGCACCGCTCTAGGCTGTGTTTGTGAGACAGGCCCCAACCTTAGTCATCTGCACGTTTCTTCCACCCAGAAAATCAATCCCATCATGAGAAGGTCTACACTAACAATACTAAAGTTTGAAGAGAATGCTTTATTATTCAGTACAATAAACCGCTGTATGTTTCATAATAATTAAATTCACTTTGAAAAGGAAAAAGAAATCAAATAAATCATTATATCTAATTATGTAACACAACTACCAGAAGACAGAAAAGCTGAAGAGCGAAGTACAAAATGAATTTACAAGTGGTTTTATCTACAGGTTGCCTCTAGATCTGTTTTTACATGGATGATCATTCAAGTCTAGAGAACACTCAACCAACCTGTTGCAGTTGAAAGGCTTTTCTTCCATTCACCTTACAGTATAAGATAAATAATCTCAATGACTTCATCTAATCTGTTTCCTATGAACTAAGAACCTGCATTTGAGTATGTCTGAAATATTTCTTATTTCTTTAATGCTGAAATAGTTATTATAGAAACATTAGCTCGTTATAGCATAGTATTCATTCAAAATAGCCATGGCCCATAGAATGTTCATTTTTTAATCACATAAAAAGATTGGAAGCATGTAATTCTCTCATGCATATGACCACATCATTCCATTAAAAAACTTTCTGTGGCTGTAGCAGAATTTCCATTTTCATGAAGGACTTTTATAAAAATTGTCATCTTCTCTCTAAAGTAATTTTTTGCATAAAAATGATGAATGTATTAGAACCCATTAGAATTCAGAGTGCAAAAAGAACCATAAGTTTTAAATGAATACAAATTTTGTGAAAACCTAACAGAAGCATTCTGCATTAAGACCTCCATGCTGGCTTATGTGTCAAATAATTTTTAGAGGAATAACGGTAATTTCCATTTTCTGTATTATACAAAAATAAGAATGTGTTTTGTTTCTGCATTATATAATTGGTTTACCTTTCATTGTTTAATGTCCTCTAAACTCCATACCTTTATCTGCACCAATATTTCTCAGAAATAACGTGTCGTCTTCTCTTTGCTTCCCCTCCCCCTCTTAAGTACTGATGGGTAAAACTAACTTGGTGTTAGGACTTTTCTTTAGGATAGTTTGTAAACACTACATAACTCCCTGAGATAGATATAACCTAAAACTGCAAATGCTTAGTAATCTGAAATATGCTATCGAAAATTTTTTCTGTACTATGTGCTAAAAAAAAGTTTCGATTCACTTTTTAATCCAATAAAATGGCTAGTTTACTATTAAGCCACAGAAAACATGGCATCTAAATTGATTCCTGAATCACTGGCACTTAAAACTGCCTTATATTAAATTTTTTGCATTTTTAATGTAAACAGCAAAAATCATCAGCATTTGTCTTCCAAAATGAAGCATCATGTTGGCATCTATCAGCAACAACTACCAAAAGAAAAAGAAGTGTGATGTGAATTTTCATTTGCAGAAAGAATTATTTCAGGTATGTCTTGTTTCAGAATAACAATAGCCTGTTAGGGCTTGCAGGCCTCAGCGTAAGTAGTTTGGGAATAGCAGTGACAGCATAAACAAAGCACTGAAAAAGGTTTATGAGGGTGGAGTCCCATTATTAAACACTGGATTAAAACTCTTCTGTATCCTGCGGCTCCAAACTTTCCGAGGATGCAGCAGTAAACCCTGAGGAGACAAACTACAGCAGACTTGGCTAATAACACCCCTTCCTCAACACACAAGCCCATACAGTTATTAAAACTGAATGCACTGTTGTTCCCTATGAAATACTTGAAAACAAAGAACTAAAACACAAAGACCATTCCCCTTCATAGCGTATTAACTTCCGTTTTTAATAAGTAACTCATCGTCCCACATGATACAGTTCTGCATTGTCCAACGCATACCACTTCACTCAGACAATGCACACAGCAATAAAACTCGACCCAGCAAAGAAAGTGAAAGCTGCGTTTGTTCAGCATGTTATTTGGCTCAGCCAACTGTAATGCTTCTGCCTACCATTTATTGTTTACTCTGTCAAAGGATTATTAAGAATTAGGCTACATTTGGCAATTTTTTGAGAAGGGAATTTACATGCAAAGTGACTGACACTTGATATTTAAAGTCTATTGGTCGACTCTGACCCTTCGTTTACAAGTGACTCATTTGACTGCAAGGATCTCTGATGTGGAAATGCTCAGATACGAATCAATTGCAGTTTTTGTCTCGGGTAAATGTTACTTGGCAATCCAAAAGAAGTGAACAATGCTCGAACCGAGGTTCACATAGAATAGTACTCATATGTTTAAAGAATTCCTTTTACATGCCTGATTTACTTCTAGTCGGCGGATTTATAACTCCCCTTCTCCTAATAACTTATCTCAGTGCACAGTGTTTTTAAACACACACACACAACACCAGTTAACTCTTTTGCTGCCTAAAAGAACAGAAACGTACGGACGCATTTAAGTAAATAAAAAAAAAATAAAGCAGGTCTGGTCCCGATAGGGCTTTTGATTCTGTGTGGGAGGTGGCGATAGGGGAAGGATAGGTCCAGCGAGGGAGAGAAACATGTAGGTAGGTACAGTTTGCAAATCCCTGTTCCATAAAGAAACGATTGTGTGTAAGAAACGACCATTCCTACATGAAATCAGCTCAGTGCGAATTCTGCAGTTTACCTCTGATAGGGATAAAGCAAAAGGGTTTCTCTGCACCCGAGCCAGATTCCCTTCCTCTTAGAAGACAGATGCAGCATTTCTATAAACAAAAATGTCTCTAGCCCTACCTTGTGCCAGTGCTTGCAACATGTGGAGCTGAAGCAACAGAAACGCCCACCATCCCCGACAGAAGATGAAACAGAAGTTCAACTTTATCATCATTCCGCCTCGCCTGCTATTCCTTCGGGCAATAATTTCGCGATCCACCTTTCTTTCAACGGTTGTTGCCTCACTGATCCCCATCCGATCCGACTGCCTGCCACTCCTGACAGCGCTTTGGTCATTGCTCACTCCGCACCCCGAGGCCAGGCTCTCTTTGGTGGGCTGGGAACATCGCCCGCTGCCTTCGCCCCGGAGTTTGGGGGGACCCGAAGCCCCCACTTCACAGGATCGGCGGACTCTTTGATTTGTGCTCACTTTGCATGCAACCCGAAAGCAGCGCTCCGTGTGCCTCCCGGTATGATAATCGCCACCTAAGTCAATGTTTCTTGTGGACGTATTGATTGCACCAAAACAACCAGTCAGAAATGTGAAACACATGTTTCTCTGCACTGTCACATCCAATGCCTTCAACAGAGAGGGAGTAAGTTTATTGGCGTCAGTATTTCAGTAAATCCGGATCCTTCAGCACATCCCTAACAGAAACTGGGAAAGACTGATCCATCTTAGCCACCAGCAGACAATCCAAAGAGTACCTTTCATACCGCAACGATGATGGAAACTGTTAGCCCTGTGGTTTTTATGAAGCCTGGTGAGTTTTCCAGCATGTGTCCCACTCTCCTGCAAAAACCTTGCGATTGAAGTGTTAAATTCTCGTAGAAGGGAGGAGGGGGGAAGCGTCAAAGAAAAAAAAAAAAAAAAACCTAATTGAAAGTATTCGCTATTCCTTGCTCTAAGGATTTATTTCAGACAATTTCAAGATTAGCCATGCAGACAGGGTAGTCTCCAGATATCCCCGCAAAGCTCTGCATAGTTTATATTAATCCGATTTTCCTTTGGATACAAATCTCTACCGTCAATAGAAGGGTTTGAGGGGTCCTCGAGCAGGTAAATTGAGCAGCTCTGGCTGTGATTCCAGCTCGCTGTGCAGTCAAGTCAGCCACAGGCCAGCGGCGATGTCACTTGAACTCTCACGTTCAGCCGGAGGTAGGGAAAACCTCAGTTGATCATATCTGCCTCCTCCCCGAAGGCTGGTGCTGATCTCTTTCTTGCAGGGAGACCACGGCAAAAAATCACCTCTAAAATGTAAAGCGCTTTTCTTCTGGCCGGCAACGGACGCAGCAAGGAAACAAACCCTCAGCTGGATAGTGTCCGGGGCGGGGGGAGGGAAAATCTCCCGAAACAAACAGCAACAAGGTGAAATCCTCCCAGCTTTGCTCAGATGGACTCCCGCTTTCCTTGTTTATGCAGCCCGGGGATCCTGGTTCTTCCTCTGAGCGTCTCTCCCTCACAGAAGCTGTAAACACAAGAGGGAACGCGCTACCACAACAGCAGCAGCGGCGGCAATAAAACCGTACCCAAAAAAAAAAAAAAAAAAAAAAGAAACAACAAGTTAAGCTTAAGGTTTTACATTTGAACAATGCATCGGGTATTGTTTCAGTCCCGCCTTCCGTAAAGGGAAAAGTTTCGTGGGAGACTCCCTCCCCCCCCCTTATTAAAAAGAAAGAATACGAGTAGTTATAAAAGAAGTACACCCAGGATAAGCGCAAGTTAAAAACAAAGCACCTAAGGGCGAAGTTGATCGAACAAAAACGTTGCCAGCTCTCCTCCGCGCCCCCCCTCCCCGCCCCCGCACGACAGACTGAACTTTTCTCGCCTCCTTCAGGCACAAGGGCGGTTTTAACCCTCCCCTGGCAGCCGGCTCCGCGCTCCGCCCGCCATCCCTACAAATCCTGTACATA